CTGATTAAAGTGGCCCTCCGTGCCCAGAGGCCCTTTCTCCTCCGAGCTTCACGCCCAGGGCCGGCCAGCTGCCAGACTCTAACGGCAGCACCCATCAGAGCCGGGAAGGGGCTCTGTCCCCAGGAGCAGGCTTCGCAGAGACCCCTGCCTGCCCTTGGGGGCACTGTCACCTATCCAGTGGCTCTCTTCCAGCGCGGTGGGGCCCATGTTCACACCTCCCCCAGGAAAGGGGGTCATCACCCACTCAGCTGCCTGGCCCTGAGCTGCGCTGGGCCTCCCCCGGATGGCACCTCCCAAATAGATCTCACACGGACTGGCCTGTAATTCACGTCGCTCTCCACTGCCGGTCCCAGGTCTTGGAAAGGCTCGGCTGATCCGACCGTATTTGGTACCCAGGAGCTTGCGTATAGGGCTCAGCTGTGGGGCCCCATGCTTTCCCTTCACACCAGTGATGTGAAGTTAGAAAACAGGGAAGCGGTGTAGGTACTGAGAGACTTGAGAGAAGAGTGGGCGTCTTGCTGGTGATCGCGGCACCCAGACAAACAGGTGTCCTCCATTCTTTCGTTTGTTCAAGTGTAGCCCAGTGGAGCGGGTCAGAGCCTGGGGGCATCTGTGAACTAGCACCTGCGCCTGTCCCCCCACCCGGCCCTACCCTCTGCCCCCAGGGTGCCTTGGCTGCAGGCCTGAGACCCCGGGTGCAGGGAGGGTTAGGGGCCTGTGAAGTGGTGTGGGCTCAAGGCACGGTCCCCTTGCTCTGTCCCCAGCACCTGTGCTCCAGGGGCCAGGTGGGAGCCTGCATCTGGGACACACAGGTGCCCGCCAGGTCCTCCCAGCCCTCGAGTTTCCTGTTTTCAAGGCTCTGAGGACGGTCCTCTGACCCCAAACCCTGTCCTCACCCCTGACATGTGTGTGAACCCTGGGAGAGGCTCAGGACCACCCTGCGGGGACCAGCAAGCCAGGCCCAGTTGTAGCCCGAGGAGACGGAAGAGAAATGGACGCTAAGCTACCTCTGCAGAGCCGCATGCGGGGTGTTCTAGAGCAGGCCAGCCTGTAGGCATTGCCCTTAAACCCAGGAGTCAGGACGCCTGCCAGGCTAACCCCCAGCCACGTCCTTGAGGCTGCCACGGGGGCCATTTTTTGCTACCCATCAGTGTGCCCAGAGCATGGCAGTCGGTCTGGGTGTGTGGCACCCAGGCCACCGCCCCGCCATACCTCCCAGAGCTCAGTGGGCCCCACTGGCACACATGGTGCCGCCCCACAGACCAGCGGTCGGTCTCCATGTAGATGTCTCAACGGAGCGCATGCTCTGCCCCGCTGTGTGCTAAGGGAGAGATGGCCACGTCCGTCCCACCACGCCCAGGGGCTGTGCCCACGCCTCGTCACCCCCAGCAGTGGCCCTTGCTTAGAAAGCTGCTGGTTGGGGAGGGGCCAGGATGTGTCGTCCTTCACCCAGGCCCCAACCGCTTGGCCACTGACCACAGCTGTCCCCTGGAGGGGCACGTGTTGTTCCACTTGTGGAGTGTCTGTGAGGGCTGGGCACTCTGGGTGGGCAGTCACTGCCCCTCTGCCCTGCCTTCAGGCTTCTCACCGAGCAGCAAGACGGGACACCCCCCAGGACAACTTCAGCTTCGGACGGTCACCTGCAGCCTCCGAGGCCAGGATGTGGAGAGGACACAGCCACGGCCAATGGCTGGCCTGACACCCGGGGCCGGCTGGTGGACAGC